CGCTTATGAATTTTTCCACTACAGCAACGCATTAATAGTAAACAACGAGCTTTCAAAGACCAGCTGTGTAGAGTAACGAAGCAAATTTCGACCATATACTGATGTGGTCGACCATTGATGTGCATATACTCGTGTAAGTGCAATGGCAAGAAAACAAAATGCACTTAACCCACAGGAATTGAACAATGCCCGAAAGTGACTCCCCCAAAATCTCAAAGTACATGCGTCCTGGTGGTGTCACCATCATGCTGAGTTGATTGGCAGAGGCACGGTAGACAAGAATCGCCACTGACTGGAAAAACACAATGTCCAGAAACGCATAGAAATGTTCATATTTTCGCCTTGCGAATCCGCACAGTGTCACACCGCTACAAGTAAATCATGTTATGAAATTGCACAGAATATCGCCGTTAAGAAGATATCACAGGATATTCGGAAATGGGCCTGAAAGGTGGTTAGCATCAATGTCGTATAATGAATACATATCATGGTCACATATTGATCATTTTTAGGGCTCATCATCTACTTCGTCACCCGATTATTCGTTATTATCTTTCTGAGCAGGAGATGATGTATGATGTGACATCGAACGCTGGGAGAAGTGCACACGATCCAGCTAAATGTCATTCCAAGAATTTCATTTCCCTGTGATTCGCCGGTAGATTTTGCTATTAGACGAACGTCGCCTAGGTTAAAAACGGTGCTGGAATCCCCCATATTTTCAACATACAATGTCAAAATCCGAAATATTCCGTTTGTTGTACGTGCAGATATTCGACCTCCTCCCAGAAACCGACGTATCCTTCGATTCAAGTTATTGAACGAAAAAAGCTGACTCTCCCAGAGCGTCTTTGGTAAAGAAAACATCATGAATCGAAGAAAATTACACAACATGCAAGTCCGAGTGCCCATAATCCTGTGCCCTGAATGTGCGTCAGTAATGGTCCATATCGGGATCATCAGTTTGAAACGCTCGAGGTCCAGAATAATCTACATTGACCTTACAGACAGAGTGCTGAGATAAAAAGATAAACTTTAATAAATTAGTTCGTAAAACTGCATGGAGGCACCCCGTTAAAATTATATTTCGATGCCATACTTCCTTTCATCCTTTTGCTATCTAGCAACTAAACATAATGAGCGAAGACTTCCTTCAAATGAAATTAGGGGCCTTTCGAAAACATTTAATCCTCAACCGTTTGAACGCATTCAGTGAAACATTTTCCCCATTTAATGCCAGTACATTTCAGTTTCACCTCATTGGTAACCTAGACTCCATTCAGTATAAATAAATCGTACCTTTTCAAC